GAGAGAGAGAGAGAGAGACATTTCGGGAGAGAGAAAGAGAGAGGTCGGGAAGTGAAGCCTACCTTGAATGGTCCGTTTGAAAAAAGCCTTACAGGCCTCACAGGAAGAGACTCCATAGTGGTATCCGGAAGCCACGTCACCACAGACAAGGCACAGTCGTTTGGCGCCGTCGGCCGCCTCGCCGCTGTCGGGCGAGTTGAAGGAACTGGAGCAAAAGTCGATCTTGATATTGTCCAGGCTGCAGGGCGAGATGTTGCCGCTGTCGGCGCTGTCGCCGTGGTCGGAGCCGTAGTCGTCGTGGGAGGGGTCGTAGGCGAACACGTCACGGGGGAAGCTCTCGTCCAGGTTGGGCTGGGAGCAGCGGCCCAGATCCAGGGGGCTGTTGGGCTCACATTTGATGACTGTGTCCAGATCCATGCCGGCCCAGATGGTGCCTAGCCGGTAGTTGAGGTTACTATCGTCTACGTCCTGGGGAACACAGCCAAACGGGGACACGGGGGGTTAGTCAACTACAGGTTGTATCGTCATATCACGGTCTGTCTGCTGGCCTGTCTGTCTGTCTGTGTGTGTGTGTGTGTGTATGTCTGTCTGTCTGCGTGTGTGTGTGTCCGTCGGTCTGTGTCTGTCTGTCTGTCTGTGTGTATCCGTCGGTCTGTCTGTCTGTACTTAGCCTTGCCACCAACGAGTTCCATAGAGAGTAGCACAAGGACACAACAAGCGCAGGGGAAAGGCAAAACCCTACAGAACACTTACAGAACACTTACAGAACACTTACATAACACTTACAGAACACTTACATAACACTTACATAGAGGGACAGTGGGACAGAACACTTACATAGAGGGACAGTGGGACAGAACACTTACATAACAGAGGGGACAGTGGAACAGAACAGAGGGACAGTGGGACAGAACACTTACATAGAGGGACAGTGGGACAGAACACTTACATAACAGAGGGAAGTGGAACAGAACACTTACATAACAGAGGGACAGTGGAACAGAACACTTACATAGAGGGACAGTGGGACAGAACACTTACATAGAGGGA